AATTGCAAGGACTTAAGAAGCGAAAGCTGGTCAACAATATGTCAATCAAATGATGTTCATTTGGCCACTGATACATTTATTAAAGAAACACAAAAGTATATACAACAGAACACAACAACTGTAAAATTGAAGAACAATGAACGTAAAATAAGAAAACCCTGGATTACAACATACAGTATAATAAAATCTATAAACTGCAAGAATGAAATATTTTCACAAATAAAACAAGAATTTAGCACTTGAATATATTTACAATAATTATAAAAATAAAATAACAAATCTAGTCCAAATATCTAAAAAAAATTATATTAATACAATAATAAATAAAACCACAAGATCATCAGCTTCTTTATGGAAGTGTGTTATTATGCGACAAAGAAAAACTTAAAACAAAAATTGAAACAGTGCAAGGGGAGAACGGGGAAAAAATAACAGATCCATTGAAAATTACAAATATCTTTAATAACTACTATAGTGGTGAAAAATACGCACATAAAATCAAAGTTCCTCAAAATTATAGGGAAGATATAAACAGGGTGGAAAGTACTATATACCCAGCAAACACAAACATGTAACATATATGTATCATTTACGTGTACTAGTTCCGTGTTACATAACAAAGTAACTTACATGTTACATAATAACTCACGTGATTACTGTGAAAAATGACCTAATTTTGTTATATAGCAGGTTCCTTATATGTGATGTAATGTGTTAAGTACATGTAAGGAACAATGTTATATATCGGAAGACATGTAACATTTATATTACCATTGTAACATTTAATATGCTTCATTATTACAGCACATATACATTATTTTTTTCATATAACATTAGTATTATAAATGTTATATAAATGAAGGTATGTAAATGTGTCGTTTCAAAATGTAGGTATTAAACAGTGTATCTACTTAAGTTGGAACCATATGGAAAATATTTTTGTTATTGGTTTTGTGAAAAAATCTGTTCTTGATAAAAAGTTCTGCATGGTCTAAAACTTAAAATGCAATCATCAGATATTAATTTATTTAAGCTGTATACGAGGTTTGTCTAAAAATGTGAATTTTACTCAAGAGTAAAGTACCTTTATTTTTTACTATACAGAAGAACATTATAAAGTAAAGTTATTTTGAATTAAAAGTGATATTCAAATATACAATTAGTTATTTACGTTTTACATTATTTGTAGTTATAAATTAATCACCAAACATGAATTTTAATGCTAAATGGCTGAAAGTGCATATTTGAATATAACTTTTAATTCAAACTAACTTTACTTCATAACATTCTTCTGTATTGTAAAACATAAAGGTACTTTACTCTTGAGTAAAATTCATATTTTTTGGCAAACCTTATATACAGCATAAAAAAATTGATATCTGATGGTTGCATTCTAAGTTTTGGACCATGCAGAACTTTTTATCAGGAATACATTTTTTCACAAAACCAATAATAAAAAAGTTTTCCATTTGGTTCCAACTTAAGTAGACACACTGTATGACAAATATAAAAAAAAACGTCGAAAATATTTGGAGGATAAAGAAAAGTTTTTTAAACGTATTTGTTAGGTATATCAATAATTTTATTGCACAAATTCATAACCGAAACCAAAAATGTATTATAAAAATATTGCACACAAATATAATAACCCAAATTCATCATAAAAATCACAAAATATCTGCTATTAACGACGACCCACGTCCTCAAAATTCAGGACCCCATAAAGCATGACCTGAAAAGAGAACAAAAATTAATATTTACACCTCAAATGTATCATCAAAATACAGCACATACATATATAATAACTCAATTCCATTATAAAAACACAACATACCTGCTATTGTTCACAAAAATCCAAAAATGCCACAGGTACCTCCATAAAACGCCTATAGCCGCCATGAACATTGAAACGGTACTAAAAATAATACACCAGATATACCTACCTAAAAAACATGCGCATTTCAAGAACCTTTTGGTCAACAGCATTTATGTATATATACGCTATGTAACATTTTGTACGAAATAATTTAGTACAAATTGTTACTTTAATGTAGATTACACATAGATATATAAATTGATATAATATTTATGTGAGGAAATTTATATAACGGATATGTAATTTTGTAACATATATTTTAATTATATACATGGTATATAACTATGGTGCTAAGTTTGAACTTAGGTGTTCGGTTCCATAAATAACACATAAAAGTGCATACAAGACAGTCTAAGTATATTTTATCCTTCTTAGTTATGTAACAGGAGGGAACATGTAACAGAATGGTTTGCTGGGTATCTTGTGGATACCAATGAGAATGAAGTAAAACAGATTATTAAAGATTTAAAATCAAACAAATCTTCAGGTTTGGATAGTATTAGGGCAGAAACAGTCAAAGAAATAAATGAAGACATTGGTCGACCACTTACCCATCTCATTAATCAAAGTTTTCGGGAAAAGGAATATCCAAACTGTTTAAAAATAGGTATAATAAAACTTCTTTTTAAGAATCGAGACAAAAGCAAAATAGAAAATTATAGACCTGTCTCTTTACTCTCTGTGTTTTCCAAAATTTATGAAAAAATTATTAAATTGAGACTACTAAAGTTCCTCAGTAGGCATGAAGTGTTATCACCACATCAGTATGGTTTTAGGAAGGAAAAATCCACGAAAGATGCAATATATTTATTTACATCTATTATTTATAAAGCAATTGACTCCAAAACGCCAACCTTTGCATATTTCTTGACCTCTCAAAAGCCTTTGACACGGTATGCCATAAAATATTGTTAGAGAAACTGGAGCAATATGGGATTAGGGGAATTGCATATAATTTGTTGGAAAGTTACATGACAAACAGAGTGCAATATGTGAGTATTGATGGGAAGAGTAGTGACACGAGAACGGTTTCTTTTTGAGTGCCACAGGGAACTGTTCTTGGGCCAGTGTTATTCACACTCTACATAAATAGTTTAATGTCTTAAAAAACTATGATGAGCTTTGCCGATGACATCGCTATTATGTATCGGGCAGACGCATGGGCAGAAATAAAAAATAAAGTTGAAATGGATTTGAAAAAAAATAAGTCATGGTTTGAACTTAACAAATTAACGCTTAATCCAAAAAAATTACATTACTTACCCTTTACCTCGTATGCCTCCAACCTACCTAATCTTGGATCGCTAAATATTGATGACATCCAAATCCCCGAAGCTATTTCCATTAAATATCTTGGCGTTACAATAGACAGGCATCTAAAATGGGATCTGCAAATAAAAATTATTATTAATAAACTCAGGGGTTTATTATCAAAATTTAAATATCTAAAAACGTGTCTGAGCATAGAAAGTTTAAGAACACTCTATTTTTCGTTGGTACAAACTCACCTGACACATGGAATCGTGGGCTGGGGGGTCGCAGAGTCTCACATCCAAAATCTAAATTCAATACAAAAATGGTTCATAAAAATTATTTATTCCAGAAAAAGAACGTAATCAAGTAATTTACTATTCAAGAAAAGTAAACTTTTGTATATTCGTCAGCTATATTGCTTTAAAATATTAGTCAGCATATTTAAATTAAATTAAATAAAAGAACTCACCCATACCGAATACGAGCATATCATGTCACTACAAATACGTCGTCAAAAACAATAGGTCAAAGAAACACAGATTACTTTAGTTCTAGACTGTATAATTTAGTTTCTAATGAAAAAAACATTACAAAATTATCAAGGTACAAAATAGAAATTAAAAATTGGATACAACTAACTACTAGAGATACCTTAAATGATCTTATAAATCTAAAATATTTAAAATAAAAATAATAACTCAAATATAGTTTAGTTCTGATAAAACAATATTGATACTTTAGCCTAATTTTAAATTTAATGTTAATGTCTTAATTAAAATGAAATAGTCACGCACAAGTATTACAATCTAATTGTCAATACTTCAGTGACTTAATTATGTTTATTCTCTTTTTATTTAATAAATATTGAATTGATGTAACTCGTAATAATAGTTTGTTATATATTTGTCATTTTGTCATATATCTATTATACTTATTGTATTGCATTATATTATATTAATATTTTGAATAAACTTTTTTATTATTATTATTATTACTATTATTATTATTATAGTAACGTCAGTTTTAGTCCATAATGAATCATCAGTACAAAACAAAGTACAGGGAAAACAAAAAAACGTGTTCTTTACATTGCATCCACAAATGCAATCAGAAATGTTGTAGTTGACTTAAAATATCTGCTAATTTCTTTCCCTCTGTCTTTTGTGGTTTGTTTTAGATCTAGAAGAGGTTTTGGACGTCCTTTTTTGTTTTATTTCTAAACGTCTTTCAAAAGTCAATGTACCGCTTATCTTACACTGAAGTATTTCTTGCACAGTCATTGATAAATGTTTGGTAATATAATAACTACAAACTATAATAACTACACTATAAGATTGCACACTCCACAATATCTAAATAGATCGTCAAAAAAAGAAGAAAATTTCGAAAATCCACGCATCGAAACACAACACGAAACCACTTTAAGCCGAACCCTGTTGATGCGATATTGCGCAAGTTTGTAGATCACGTGCAGATCACGTGTCATATATATTTTGTATTTTAGGTCTAGGGCCGTCGATGATTACTTGTCTCTTTTCAGCTTCAGAGCGGGGTATATGCTGTTATATCTCTGTCTAGGAATATATTGCAGTATAGGAATACATTGTTATTAGTCATTAGTAATCTTGGCTACACTAGTAATAATTGAAGAATTTTTGCATAAAAATGTAATTAAATTTTTGTAAAGATAGTAAAGATATTAAATATTAAAAAATGTTTAAAATAAATTAGGTTGATCATTGACAGAATGACCTTATGGAGATACCGTGCCTGATGACTATTATGTATCACTATTTATCCAGTAATTTTTGGTTGTATTTTTTGTATTGTTTGACAGATATAAATGGGGATAATAAAATTCGTCTTATTATAAATACATATTTATTTGCTCAATACATATACAACAAAAATAGAAACTAAATGCTATATATTAACTGAGCAAAACGTTCTAACCCTAAAATTTTTACAATTCGTTATGAACATACTCAGTCGTCACTCTCAATTCTTCAACGTGGAAAGCATTGCACTCATCTGTGTATAATTTCTAAAAAAAAAAAAAAATGTTTATAATTAAACCTGGTGCTAGTCACAGATGATTCATTATATAAAACTTTTACAAGGTGGACTGTAATTAACTCAACACATTCAAAAACATTTTACATCGTCTAACCTCACAATTGGTTCTTTTTTAGTAATGTCACTTGTCGCGATTGACACTATTGACAGAGTAAGTTTTTTCGGTAACAAAAATAAATAAATCTTACAAAAATGTAGTATTAAGAAATAATTGAGTAGTTTCCGGGTCTTACCTTGCAATCTGATTTGTCTGTGATATCCATATACAAAGTCCAAAATGGTGTACTCGTTTCGGTACTCAAGAACCATCCTGCAAGTAAACTTGATCCTTTGTACAATAATTTCTTTAATCCTGGTAGACTTTCGGATTCATTTTCTTGATTTTCGTTGACAAGACACAAAACGTACCTAAAAAAATTATAACAGGTACAAAAATATATGCAGATAATAATTATTTAATAAGGTTAGAATTTTCAAACTTCTGTTACCAAATTTACTTCCCAAAAAATATCAAGTGGTACCGAAACATAAAAGAAAGTAGGTATTGAAGTATCTAGTATAAATACTTGTAATGAGAATAGAAGAAACATTTCCTATTATTACAATTTTCTTATTTGAACTCACCTTACGCATTTCGGAACTGCTTTGGAAAATCTAAAAGCCCGATTAACCCTCGCCAAAGGTTCGATTATTTCCAAATTTATAGTGTCTGCTAACTTATTTGATAGCTCTTTGGAATTACCTAAACTTTTCATGGTTGCACTTTTTTCTGCCAATTTCAGTACGTCCTGCAATAGAAATAGAAAATCAAAATTTATCCTATAAACTATTGATTGATCTACGATGAAAAATAGGTATTTTAGATCGATTAACTTAAATATTTTGCATAAAGATAGATTTAACAATCTGGTGAATCAACTTTTATAGATAAAATAATAAACTTTCTTAATGCATGGCACTGGTAACAAGTTGTTAGTTCATAAGCATACTATTTGGAGCCACCGTCGCATTAGAATGGAAGGTTCCACGGTCATTCACAAGGTCAAAACCGAAAACTGACATTTCTTATGCTATTGACTCCAAACGCTAGAAGGGGCTACTGGTAAAATTATGATTTCTTACTCCATTTTTAATTTTTATGGTTGAAAAACTTAACCAAAGAATCCAAAGATGTGACGTGTATTTATGTTTTTGGTAAGTATTATCTTTCCGTCTGATTTTAGTGATTTTTTTGTTGACTTTGGCTCTTGGTTTCTGTTTATAGTTTCTTCTTAGTTATTTGCAAAATTGTGATGTTTTGTTTTTTGTGTTTCCTACTGTGTTTTGCAATAATTTTGGTGCTACGTTGAAAACTTCGAGAAAAACTTCATAAATTTACCATGCATCATAAAAAGAAAAACCAATTTATCACTGGACTAGATTCCGAAATCATTTTTCACATAAGAGAGTATATATACCATCTGTATTTGTAAGGAAAATATTTATCAGAGAATGAATAAATAAAAGGATTCACCTTTTAATCCAATACCTATATTACATTCATCCTCAGGTAAAAAGACATTTATAAAATATAACTTTAGTGTTAATAAAATGTTTTATCCTAGTCTCTACTTCACATTTAAATATATCAATATTTTAAACATTTGAGATTGTATACTATTTGGTCCAAGTAAGTATTCGTTAAATATGTATTATTATTTGTATTTATTTTGTTCTATTTATTATTTATTAATAATAATATGCAAAAGCAACTCTCCAAATTAGACCCATTACAACAAATTAAGTCCTTAAATTTGGCATATCGACCTAAATTATTTTATAAAATAAAAGTTTCGAACTTACTCGTTCCATACTTTATTTCATAAAATAATTTATGTGAAAATCATTTGAAATTACTTTAGAACTACTACCTACTACTAAAGATTATAATTTGAATTTACCGCTATCTGTCAATTGTCATTTTAGTTTCTGCTCCAAACACAAGGTAGCGCTAATTTGGTTTAAAAGTCTAACATTGGCGTGGGGTCTTTAGAGGATACGTGCTTTGTGATGTTGCCAGTTTCCGTAAACTTAGATTAGAGTTATTTTAAACGCACAAGCTGTATATTGTGTTTTTTATCAAGCTCGATACCATCCATACAATGGGCATACTATTTTTGGGATATTTTAAAGAGAGGTTTGACAACTGTGTTGACAATTTCGTAAAAAATAAAAAGCGAAATACTATAAAATAAAAGATATTTTATGATGTAAATTCTATAAATTAATAAAATTTCGAAAACTAGGCAATTTTCAACTTTACTACCCTGTATATCGAAATCTAGTCATAGTTGAGCCTATTGACACTTCTAGTTACTAGGTCAAGTATAATAACATACCACAGTTTAACCGGTTGTCACTTTATATAAGGAAATAAGTGCGGGATCCTTTGGATAATGGATGTGTAAGTTTTAGAGCCGATTCCACCGCTGTGCTAAACAAAGTTTAAATTACTTAAAAAAGATTAAAATGACATTGTTATTGTAAAAATGTAATTTTAATCTTCGTTTAACATACCGGTGGAATCGGCCCTCAAACCTACACAAGAAATAATAATATTCAAGTCATCTTTAATAATGTGTAGACAAAAACAATTAAAAGATCAAAATCAGAAAGGATTAAAAGAAGAAATTATTTTTGAAACTTTAGCTGAACAAGAACGTGCACTTAATAAAATTATTATCAAATTACTCTAACCATATAAACTCTTAAATTAACCCCACATTAGTAAGGTCACTTTTCTACGATAAAATTATGAAAACAAAAATAACAATTTGATTTTGGTCGTCTGGCAACACTGGTAATGAAGCAGTCGAGTAAGAGAGTGTAGGAGCACTCTCATGAGTTCGGGAATAGAATTCCAGTTCATTAGGTTACGCCTTAGACTAGGTAATAAAGGGAGGACGCGTAACAAGTACATATATCGAGCACTCGTAGTATTCTGTGTCGATTATATATTGGCCGCCATTATTTTGGCGCTAATAATTTCGGTGATATCAAAGTTTTTTTTTGCGTTTATTTTTGATTTTTGAATTAAACAACATTTATTATTACAGTTATTTATTGTGTGGCATATCAGTGTTAAAGTTATAGCGGCAAGAAATAAGCAGATATTACATTTTACAGGTAAATAATAAACAGCAATCGTTTTCACTATATATATATTTTCTTATATTTTTCATTTTATTTGGTGTTATACAACTTAGTATTTATACAGGGTGTTATTGAAATACACGTACATATTAAAATGGGGAAACGATTGGCACCAATTTTAACTTCAAATTCTAAAATTTAAATATTGGGGAAGAGTCCCCTTTTCCGACCTACTAGTTTCCATATTTAAAGAAATAAAATAAATCGAAATTGAACTTACCCATAGAAATTGCACTGTTGCCGTAGCAAAACCAATTAATTCAAAATAAAGTTTAGTACAGTAATTGTTCAAAATGCCGTCCATTATTATTTACACACACTTGCAATCGTCTTTCCAAAGAACTTTGAACATTAGAAATTAGTCTTGGATTTTGTCGTAGTTCCTCGGCTACCGCATTAACTTTATTGGTTAATTGTTCAACACTATTAATAGGTTCATTATAAACCAGTTGTTTCATGTGACCCCACAAAAAGAAATCGCATGGATTTAAGTCCGGAGATCTCGGAGGCCACTTAGTAGGTCCATTTCTGCCTATCCACTTTTGAGGAAATCTAATGTTCAAAAACTGCCGTACGTTTAAATCAAAGTGAGGAGGAGCGCCATCTAGTAGGTACCACATCCGTTGCCTTAATTGTAACGGTATCTCTTCTAGGAGTACTGGCAAAATATCTTCTAAAAAGTGGAGATATCCTGGCCCATTTAATCTGTTCGGGAGAACATAAGGCCCAATTAAATACTGATCTATTATGCCAGCCCAAACATTTATTGAAAATTTTCTTTGATGCCCAGTTTCCCTAATGGCGTGACGATTTTCATCACTCCAAATATGCGTATTGTGCATATTGAACACGCCATCACGAGTGAATGAAGCCTCGTCAGTATACAATAATATTTTTAGAAAATCAGGAATATCAACACATTTTTGAATCATCCATTCACAAAACTCCACTCTCTTTTCTTCATCACCTGGATATAAGGCCTGGACTTTTTGGATGTGATAAGGATGTAAACCTTGTTCTTTAAGTGTCCGCCACACAACAAATGAGGACACTCCAATTTCAAGACCTAGTCTTCTACAACTTAATTGAGGCCGGTTTTCAACAGCTTCCAATATTTCTTCTTCGGCCGCCAATGTTCTTTGTGTTCTCCCTCGATCTGCATTGACACTCTAAAATTTTCCATGGTCTCTTAGATGCTGAACAGTTGAAATAAACGTACGACAGTCCGGAATTCTCCGATTTGGAAACCGTTCGCGATACAGGATTTGTGCTTGCCGAGAATTTTCCCCAGCTGCCCCATAAACCAGCACTATATCCGTTAGTTCAATATTCGTAAATAGTGGCATCGTAAAAAATATTTAAAAGTAAACGTAACAACACTTTTTACCAACTTGGAAATGACGCGCTCGTGTTAGCCAGATTCGTAAATCAACTAAAATTTTAATAATCTATAGTTTCAAAAATGTATAGTTTAAAAACAATCATTTATCAAATATTCTAGTTTTTTGATAACGAGGGTAGTAAAAACCAGTCTTCGGAAATAGAAATTAATTCGAAAATCTTGGCAACATGGTTATTTCTTACAAGACTAGTTTTCTTATCATCTGACAAAAACTTGCATAATAATTACTGTTGATGTTTAAAATAGGTAAATAAACCTAATTTATATAGGTCATCCTCAACATATCAGTGACGTACGTTTGTTTTAGAATTAATTTCCAAAAATTAATAACTCCCTTAATAAGGGGTATTTTTAAAAAATAATATTTTTCTACATTCAGTGGGGATCTGCGCAATACCCAGTTTTAATATGTACGTGTATTTCAATAACACCCTGTATATTGTACATGTCTCACTCAAGAGTAATAAATTTTACCCACCAAGTTTGTTTATTTTATGTTTTTCATTGATATTTAAGCAATTAATATTATTAAAATGGCCAAACATGTAATTTTTTCCAGTGGCGTGTCGTACAATTCTAAATATTAACTTTTATTAAATCATAATTAACTTTTGCTTTTTATTTAATTGCTTGTAGTACTTAAAAAGAAGAACATTGCATTTGGAAGCTGAGCCAGGCCCTTTAAATAGAACTTAAAATAAGGAATCTATCCTAGAAAGCCCTAGCATAAAACGGCTTGGAAGACAACTTTTACAACAGGTAGAAAAGAATAAAGAAAAAACAAGACAAATCAAAGTTCTTAAATAAAAACTAAAAATATATATAAAAAAAGAGTTGTTCGCTAAAACTTCTTGTTATTGTACCAAATTCGATTATTTAAGGGTCAGTAATAAATGTATCTTCATTTATGTATAATTTTTCTTACTAGCTTAAATTAATAATATCCAGATAGCACACATCTTAAAGACGTCCAGTTCATGTCTTACTTTGGTCCAAACGTCCTGGTACGTAAAACGGACGGTTTTAAGACATGTTCAAAACATCTTTGTTGGGACGTTTTAAATATGTCGGTAATGTGGACGTTCAACTCTTTTCGCTTTATTTGAATATGGCACCACGACAGCGTTCTTGGCACTGCCTGCAGCGCATGTAGTTTATCATTCGTCATTGTCATTGGCTGATTGGAGTCTCGCA